GTGTGTAACCCTTCTGCCCATCTAAGTTGGCAGCAACAAGGGCCGGGTTCTGTATCTAGGGGTTCCGTTTCAATAACACAATGCAAAACCGGCTCGAGCCCCCACCCAGTGACCTGGGACAATTACATACCACCCCCTGGGCGCCTCTAAGAGGCAATACTTCACCTCTCGCAAGCACGGAGTCTGAGTGTAACAGAAAATGTTTAATAACATGAGGTAAACAACATCAGCATTAAATTGGAAAAAACACCACAACTAGAGTTCTTAGACCAAACCATGAGCGAAGACCCACCCCAGCAAATTGGGCCGTGTCCTCTCCCGTTGGTTCTTGAAACCAGCGACCCCAAGAATCACCAAAGTCCCAAAAGTCCACCAATCCCAAAGTCTCTTGGGTCCAGCAACCCAAGAATCACAAAAGTCCCAAAAGTCCGACAACCCCAAAAGTCTCTGTCCATGATCAGTGCAGCCCCAGAGTTCAAAGGGGGGGGTGTGTGAGCAGGGTGTTAAGGGGCACCTTACGTGATCCAAGGCCAACCGCCACTGCAGCCTTCACCACGAACTGCTCCACTCCACCCGCAGTCCCACTCCTGCCGTCCCACGAACTGCTCTGGCAGCTGCACCGCTCCGCTCACCGACCTGTGAGCCATGCCGCTCCGCTCCAGCCGGCCCTTGGGCCGCTCCCACAAGGCTCTGCTCTGCTAGCTGCTCCTCCAGCCGCTCCGCTCCGCTAGCTTAGCAATATAGCTTCAGGCTCCCCCACTAGTTAACACAGCCTCAGTGATCTCAGCTCTTAAATAGCTTTAGCTCTTTTGTGATTTCAGCTAGTAGTAGGGGAGCCCCAGTGCTGGTGCACTATTGGCCCAAAGTGAACTCAGCTCAGCAGTCTGTAACTAGACTCCTAAGGGAATCAAAGTTAGCTCTGACATTCAACAGTGAAGAGAGCAGATAGTGCAATTGGTGTTTCAACCCCTCAGGGAGGGGGCCATACCATCAAGTACAAATACCTATCCCCATCCTCTCTCCATTCACTGGGTTTTGTAACCCATGCCCCTTGACAAACAAATGCTACTTAGGTAATGGTGAATGACTCACTCAGTCCTTCTGTCATACAACAGTTCCACTGGCCTTGATTCACAGAATCAGGGTAACAAAACTTTATTCTTCCTGCCCCAATAACAGAGAAACTGGTGATCCCACACCAGCCAAAGTAACCACTTTGAGTTGCTGTGGTTTCATGCCAGGCGAGTGGGTGTGCCTATGCAAACAAGATCAGCCCCTGGAGTCCTTTTCCACACTCGCCATAATTCACCACCAGATGTCAGGGTAGAGCTCATCCTGACTCTGCTTACATGTGGATTGGAGCATTCCAAGATGCGTTGTTCCCCAAGTGTTTCCTGATCGGGTACTTAACCTGGCGAATTGCTTCCTAAAGAAACTGACCAAATGCCTCACAAAGCTTACTTAGAAACCAAGCAAGCATACAGCCCATATTCTTAACCTCAAGTAGAAAATGATACATGTGTACAAAGAGGATGAATAGATATAGTAGACCATAACCATTAGGGAGATATATTATATGGCACAGGCAGCACAAAACATATTCCAGTTATGCCATACATATATTTATAAGCACCCGCCACATAAAGCCTTATGGGGTACACTGTCACAGCAGGTCCAACACAGGCGGGTCTGGCCCCTCTCCTCAACAAGGGCTCAGCTGCTGCTCTGGAGGTGAAAGGCTCTTGGTATCTCCTCAACCTCCAGGCCTTGTAATGTCCTAGGGACGATCTCCCTCTGGGTTCCTGACCAGGACGTCGGTTATTCTTTCCCCTGAGAATCCACCCTTAAGATTGGAGACTGGCCACTTCCCAGGGCTTTGGGAGATGAGTCAGAGCTGCGGGACAATAGTGTGGTGCTGAGGTGGGCCAGCTACTGCTCTCATTTACCCGGGTGCAGGGCAGGAGTAACTCTCCTGAATTCAATGGGGTTACGCCTGATTTTTTTGTGGAATATTCCAGCTGCTGGGGGTGGTTCTAACAGGGTTCCCACACCCAGGAAAGACAGAGCCTGCTCCCTTCCCCCACCTCGAGGAGCTGCAATCAGCTGTTTGTAATGTACCAGCAGCTTCCTCCCCCATGTGAAGGCTGCAGTGTCTGGAGCTGGCCGGGAGCAGGGAGGTGTTTCTGACATGCAAGGCTCCGCTTCCCCTCCACGTTCTTCATTGCTGTGTAGGTGGAACTGGACTGAGCTCCCCTCTGATGTGGAGAGATGAGCTGGGGGAACAGACTCCAGGAACAGACTGTGTTTCCGGAAGCACCTACTGTGCCTAGGAACTCAGCGGAGGGAACTGCTTTGACAAAGTGACCCCTTTTGGTGAGTGTTGGGTTACAAATCACTTTAGTGGGGAGTGCAGGGGAATGGCATGTTGTCACCCTGGTTGTGTGAGGAAAGGGCAGCAGAACTGTGCTTAGCCTGCCCTGATTGACGCTCACTCGCTACGCAGGGGGGTGGGGATGACAAATCCCCGTGAGAGTGAGAGAGAAAGAGGGTGGGGGCAGATGTCTGTACTGGGGGTGTGGGCGCTGCTTAAAGAGTCCTAGATGCCATTTCACCCTCTCCCTCGCCACTGTGTAAAGGCAGAGCTGATCAGACACACTGGAAAGTCTTTGTTTTGTTAAGTGATCGCTGGAGCTGAAATCACTGAGAACCAGGTCTAGCCACTGAGCCTTAGGGCACGTCTACACTTAAGAGGCTTCATCAGCACAACTGCACTGAGGCAACTGTGCCACTGTGGCACCTTAATGGAGACGCTCTAAGCTGACGGGAGAGAGCTTCTCCCATCGGTGTAGTTAATCCACCTCTCTGAGGGGCGGCAGCGGTGTCAATGGTAGAGTCTCTCCTGACAACACAGCAGTGTCTACACAGGGGTTCAGGTTGGTATAACTACGTCACACAGGAGGCGGGTGTGTGTGGATTTTTCACCCCTCTAAGTAACATAGTTATACTGATAGAGGTCTGTAGGTCAGACCAGACCTCGGTTGTATATGTGGTGGTGGCAAAAGCAGCCAAGGCATTTCTCGACGCCATCTCCCCACCTCCCACCCATCCAGGAGGAGTTGAACTCACATGAACGCTCTGAACTCTGGGCCTTCGCCAACCAAAGACAGCAACTGTGAGTGGGGTGCTTTAAAAGGTGGAAGGTTTGGTGAGTGGGGTGCAGGGGAGGCAAAGGCAGGTTCAAGGAGAATTTGTTGGACTTTCACACCACAAGGGGAGAAACTGAGGCAAAGGACACTGCCCAGTATATTCTGGGGTAGGAGTTTGCTCGTGGCTAAGGCTACGATTATATCATGGAGGTCACGGACATGAGGCGTTTCCCCTCCAATTAGCTCTGCCCCCCAATAATCCCCACCCAGAACTGACCAGGGGGCAGGTAGCTCCCTAGCCTGATGGCGGAGGAAGGCCATGGGGCACCTGCCCCCCGGATGCATATGCTGGACCCTACCTGGTGAGGCCCCGCTGCCCGGGCCCGTCTCCTCCCTGAGGGGCTCGGCCGCGATGCTTATCTTCTTGATGCTGTGGAAGGGGATGGTGTGGGGTGTGGCGGCGTGTATGGGAAGGCCGTCTCCACCACCAAGCGTCCCCGGCTCCCCTGCGGCTGGTGGCAGGGGACCTCTGCAGTTGCCCAGCCATGGCAGGAAGAGTGGGGCAGTGGGGGACCCTAGACATCCCACTTGCCACAGGTGGCAGGGAACCGGAGCTCCCTGCTGCCGTAGGCGGTGGGACCCCCCCACACACAACTACTTAGGTGCCGTGGGGAGCAGGCAACTTCAAAGTGGGAGAGTGGGGGACCCCGGAGCTCCAGCAGCAGTGGGCACTGAGCTGAACTCGCCTCCCCATTTTGTCAGTATATTTTTGTCGTGAAAGTCAGGACAGGTCACAGGCTTCCATGAATTGCCCATGACCTGTCTGTGATTTTTACTAAAAATATCTTTGCCTTACTCATGGTCACAAGCTTTAGAATCGTGGTTGTGAGGTTTCCCAGATTAATGCCAGGTTCCTTTCCCCTTTTCATTAAAAGTTCTCTTTGTTATACAAAGACTCAGTGCTTGGGAGAGGGAATGCATTGCCTCAGAGAGGTGCCTGGGGTGGTGTGAAGTTTTCCCAGATTACTGGGTGAGGGTGTGACGGGTTTGGTCACAGAGACCACTTGGGACTGTCACCTGATGTGCTGAAATTACCTCTGAGCCTGTTTCCCCTGCCAGCTTGGGACTCCAGCTCCCTGCCTTGTTGAGTCAGACACGCTAACCAGCTGCAAGGGTCTGGGCCATGTCCCATAGCTGCAGACTAACTAAAAACAGCTCAGCTGTTTACCTATCTCCAGCACCCAGACACCCAGCTCCCAATGGGATCCAAACCCAAAATAAATCCATTTGACTCTGTATAAAGCTTGTACAGGGTAAATTCATAAATTTTTCGCCCTCTATATCATGGTATCAGGGATAGAGAGATATGCTCAGCTGTTTGCTCCCCCAGGTATTAATCATTTACTCTGGGTTTATTAATAAACAAAAGTGATTTTATTAAGCATAAAAAGTAGGATTTAAGTGGTTTCAAGTAATAACAGCCAGAACAAAGAAAGTCTCGAAACAAAATAAAACAAAACACGCAAGTCTAAGCCTAATACATTAAGAAACTGATTACAGGTAATATCTCACCCTCAGAGATGTTCCAATAAGTTTCTTTCATAGACTCCTTCCTATTCTAGGCCCAGTCCTTTCCCCTGGTACAGCCTTTGTTAGATCCAGCAGACATCTCAGGTGGTAAGCAGGGGTTTTCTCATGACCAGCATCCCTTTGTCCTGCTCCACACACTTTTATAGCTTTGGCACAAGGCGGGAATCTTTTGTCTCTCTAGGTCCCCACCCCTCCTTCTAAATGGAAAAGTACCAGGTTTAAGATGGATTTCATTATCAGGTGAATGGTCACATGTCACTGTAAGACCCCCAGTCTCCATTCCCCATGGGCTGGCCCACACGTACACAGGGAGGCTTTCAAGTAACTAAGGCCGTTTACAACTGATTGTTTCTGGAGCACCCTTAATGGCCTCCACTTACTATGTTTTTCACCAGTGATACAGGTTTATATCTTATTCTCCTAACTCCAGATATAGAAATAACACATGCAAACAAATAGGATGAACACACTTAGTAGATTACAAGCTTTCTAAAGACACCCCACAAAGGGGTATTTAGCATAAAGTATATTCCAGTTATGTCATATTCATGAGCATATTTCCATAAAGCATATGGAGTGCAACGTCACAGGGGGCTCCAGCCGGTTCGGTTTTGTATTGGAACCCCTAGGTATTGAACCCGGCCCTGGTTGCTGCCGACTCCGCCTGGCAGAAGGGTTACACCTGGCAAGAAAAGCAGAAAAATGACAATAGGTTCCAAGGCAACTGAGAGTGTAATGGGCAAACTGGCGGGTTGTCTCTGGGAGGCGACACACAAAGCCCCTGGCTACTGTCCCATAGGGATAATGGAGCCAAGGGAAATTCTTCACGGTGCTGACTGCTCATTGGGGATGATCCGTCTGCACTGACAAGGTTTCATATCATTACATTGCAAGAGCCAATGCCTGCCTAGCCCACAGTGAGTGACCCCTGGAGCTCCCAGGAGAGCCAAGGGAAGGGAACGCGGAGGTGCCAGGACAGGACATTCTGTTCTGGTGCTTAAGACATCTAGGATACCCCTGGATAGTGACCGACTCTCACTAACACTTGCAGTGACGTTCACAGCTGGCTCATAACCAATCCTGAGTCATTCGGGGGACACAGCACCTTTACAGCAGTGATGAGACCCAGCTAGAGATGACTGTGTCACAGGCTGGTTCTGGAACAGAGCAGAGAACCTCTTACCGTCTTGGTCCTGGTGGTGGGGACAGCAGACATGGATAGATCGGTTGTCTGAGATTTTCTGCGGTATGTTCGGAATCTATTGAGCCATCTCCTGTACTCCTCTCTCACCTGGAGAGTGAGGGACACGGTCACTGCCCTATGTAACTAACGCTGAGAAGATCAAACATGGCTGGTGAAGGTGAAGGTGCTGGGTGGGCGCTAACAGGCTGTGGGCATTACCTGGCGATTGAGGAGACAGTACACCAGGAAGATGAAGGGTCCCTGCAGGCTGTTGACAATGAGGAATAAATACTGCATGACCACGGATTCTGTGAAGGGACCAAGGCCCCATGTGCAGCCCAGAATGAAAAACTGGGCGATGGCTTTAAAGGTCAGTAACCTGGATAAAGGCAGATGGAGAGATCCTGTTACAATAACCCTATGGAGAGTAATTGGGTCAGGAGGATCTGGGCAGAATGGGGTGGAGCTACCGTCCCTGGCTTTCCTGTGTGGGACAGTGTCAATAAAAACACTGTGTTTATTTGTTCCCATGGATCCTAGATATGCTGTTCCCCTCCTTCAATCCCTCACACCCTCCCTGTGCCAAGGACCCTCCAAACCAAGGCATCTGACCCTCCAGGATTTTTTTGTTGCCTTCTCACCTGTGGTCTCTGAGGGTGGACACATCTGCATTGAGGGAGGAGAGTGTTTTTCTGAGGATCCACAGAGTCAGGGCAAAGAACGTTATATTTATCTGTGGGAAGAGTGGGAAATATTTCCTGTAAAACATCCCATCCGGGGCCGGTGACTCCAGCTGAGGCAGAGAACGATCCCAGGGGAACGAGCCGAACACTGCAGAACCGGGGACTGCTCATTTCCGGTGGGAATCATCCCCTCACCTATAATATCCCCTGGCAGCTCTCGGTCCCTTCCCATGCGTGGAGCTGACAGCACAGCCAGTGCTAAGGTGGCTCAATGGGATCATAGAGGCCAGATGCTCCTCAAAGTTAAATATGAAGCCTCTCCAGTAGAGTCAGTAGCAATTTTGGGTCAGGGAGGGATAGCTCAGTGGTTTGAGCATTGGCCTACTAAACCCAGGGTTGTGAGTTCAATCCTTGAGGGGGCCACTTGGGGGATCTGGGGCAATATCTGTACTTGGTCCTGCTAGTGAAGGCAGGGGGCTGGACTCAATGACCTTTCAAGGTCCCTTCCAGTTCTAGGAGATAGGATATCTCCATAATTTATATTTATTTTATATACCACGTTCTCCTCCCTGCTTCACTGAAATCAATGGGGTGGCAGAGGTGAGAGGAGAATGGGGCCCTGTGGTTCAGGGAGGTACCCACCAGGATTATGGCACAGACTGGACCCAGGAAGCTCCAAATAAAGCCTCTCTCCAGGCTGAGAAAGCAGCTAGCGGGAGGGAGGAAGAAGAAGGTGACGTTAATGGGATTACTGCCCTTTTTCAGCCCCGGGGGCAGAGATGGGGGGGGTCACAGGGCAGCTGGCTCTCAAAAGCGAGATGGATCTCAGCCTGCCTGTGACATGGCCGACTCTCTTGTGGGCAGCAGATAAACAGCCCTCCCCATGTACCTCAGCATCTCCTGCTTTCAGCCACCACTTCCTCTTCCACCTCCTCAAATGACCCTTTCTGGTGGATGGGCGCAGTATTGCTGGAGGGCCAGACATGCAGCGGATGGACATTGGCCTCGCTGCACTGAAGGAAGTGGAGCTGCCCTGATTTACACCAGCTGAGGATCTGGCCTGGGGTGTCTAGAACACGCCACGCCCTGTTTTAGTGAGTCGCTCACTTTAGAGGGGGGATCCTCAGGGATTTGCACAGAGGAAGAAGGTGCATTTGTTTCCTGCCCACCAGCCCCACAAACCCAGCCTGGGACCTGGGAGTCCAGCTGGGATCTTTCTGGCTTGTTCTTCTGCATCATCAGTGGGGTGAGGAGTGCAGATGTCTGACAGGTGGGCAACTCAACTGCAGCACTCGGGGCAGCTTAGTGTCCCTGGCGATGGGAAGGGTCCCAGAGGGACATGCAGCTCCCAGGCAGGGTGAGCAGGGAAATCTTGGTTCAAGTCAGACCTGGGGTGAGCCGGACAAGCACATGGAAGCCACATCCCAGCTCCCCTTCGGGATGGGTGCTGCACGTACAGTGTGTAAGCTCCGTAGCCTTTGTGATTCACTGCTGCAGAAATAGCCACCACCAGGGCTGGGAAGCCGTATCCGAACGGGTACATGAATCTCTTAATGAACTGGCTGGCGCTGGTTGAATTCACGACCTTCAGGTTCCTGACGGTGAGGAAGAGGTGCAGCCCCTCCAGGAACATCCAGGAGAAGCAGGCCAGGAAGAGGAAGTGTAGGAACGCAGCAATGACAGCACACGCCACCTGGGGGAGACAGAGAGCCCAGGGACACTGCGGTGGGGAAGGGAAATGCTGAGTATGGGGGAGACCTGCCGGGGGTGGGGGGGGTCACACCGGGATTCTTGTTAGCACAGCTCTCCAGTCATAATGCTCCATGACCCAGAGACGGCAGGTTCCTTGTTCTATGGAGGGTCCTGCGGGTGCACATTGCTGATGCAGGAAGGGAGCAGAGATTAATGGTTAGAGCAGGGGAACAGGGCTCAGGGGATCCAGGTTCTGTTCCCAGCCCTGCCACAGAGTCCCTGGGTAACCACGGGGAAGTCACGTAGGAGAGGAATTGAGGCACAGGGAGACTGTGACATAGGGATAGAACTGGCTGAACTCCAGGGGTTGGGGACACTCAGACCACTCTGCCCAGTGTGAAGGGGCCTAAGAGGCTGGAAACATCACCCAGAAACCCCCCTGTGCCCTGGACAGCCCAGAATCCAGGGAGCACAAAGGGGTTCAAAGCCACATGGCCCGGCCCTGCTGCGAGTGGAGGAACAGAGCAGGGGAGAATCGGGCCGTACCTGATTGCGGCTGCGGGGCACCGGGTTGAAGATGAACCAGTGGAACACAAAGAGGCAGAGGGAGAGCTGCAGATGGAGGGAGGTGCTGACGTTGCGGATGGAGCGGCACAGGAGGAAGGTGAGGATGGCGAGCAAGAGGCACAGCAGGGAGAGGGTCAGTCCCACGTAGCTGACGATGGTCAGTGGGTAATTCTCCTGTAACACAGCAAAGGGACAATCACCAGTGACCCCAGCCCAGCCCCCTCGGCTCCGACTCAGCCTTTTCCCCAGCAAAGGCTCCAGTGGCTCCATGGAGAGCTTTGCCCACGGCTGAGTGCGGAGCTCAGGGTCCAGCCGTGTGATCGAGTCTCACGGTGAGATACCGTCACTCTGGTGGGAGCCATTAGGACGGCGAAGCTGGAGAGATGGTCACAGCTGCAGGTGGTGTGAGTGCTGTTCGTGTGCACGGCGGTGCAGCCGTCCGGAGACCAGCTGCCGCTCTCGGCCACTACTTTCCAGTAGACACAGAGAGCCTCGTCCTCCTGTTTTTTAGCCGCTCTACTAGAAGGACGAGGAGGATCGAGTCCCAGCAATGAAAGGAACAAACACAGGATTGCCCTTATCTGGGATGGGGTTTATAGGGGTCACCATAATACCAACAGCAAAGGTTTTTGTCTGGGAATTTCCATATTGGTGGTAAAAAACACAGGGCAAAATCCCCAACAAATGAAGGATGGATTCAAACATACCCACAGAGAGAAATTCCTGTGTGTCACTTCTATTCCCTCGAACTCAGCGCTGGAGTTATTGCCGGGTCCTTAGAGCGATGGGAAGAGAGGAGCAGACGTTAGAGCTTTTCATCTCAACTCACTCCTGCCTGGGGGAAAATCCCCTTCTCTTCCCAGCTAAGATGGCTTCTCTCTGTCCACCTGCCAGTCCTGTGATGCCAAGAGTTTAACATGCGGCTGCTACAAAACTCCCTCCCTTCCTGCCCGTGGGGGGAAAGGGGTCACACACGGCTGGGGGCGCACGGGGGGCAAATGACCATGGAGGCACCCCCCACCGATTGCAGGGGGCGTGGTCTGTCGGTCAGTCTTTCTGCTCCATCTAACCCCGCCCATTTAATTCTCCTTTATTCCTTGCTATTTGCAGTGCCCCAATCCCTGTGGCACAAACCCTCTCCCACCCCCCAGATTGGGGGCCCAACCTTTTCCAGACCAGGACCCTGCGATCCTCTCCCTGCACCAGTGCTGACAGAGCGGGGTTAAGGCGGGGGCCCGATCAGCCAGTTAAGCTGCAAAGGGGAAGTGACTTAGGCTGTGTGCAGGGCACTAGCTAGAAGGAAGCTCGCCTGGGAGGGGACAGGTGGGGTTTCTATAGAGCCCGAGGGCTGGGCCCCATGGTGGGGGCCTGAGGCAAGGGGGGCTAGGGAGCCCCGAGGGGGGGCTAGGGGCCCCGGAGGAAGGGTTTCCCTAGCAGGCATAGGAGAGAGGGGTCTGACTTTGAAAGGCTCCCCCAGAATGGGGATGACAGCGTGACCTGACCGGACGGCCAAGACACAGGGTAGCTGCGACTCTGGGAGCTGCAGTGGTGGGAGAGAAGAGGTGCTGAACAGGAGCTAGTCGTCAGAACGGGGCGCCACACTCAGCGTTACAGACCCCAGCCCGATGGGTCCTCTACCCGTTCGGGATACACCCAGCACTACCCCGCCCATGGAGCACTAGGAGAAGGCTGGGTGGGCTGTGCACAGGGGAGTGCAGGGGAATTGGGTGCTGTCCCTTTAAACTAGTTTCTTTGCTCTCTGGTTGCGCTCACGGGGGTCTATGGCAGAAGCCTGCAGACCCCCACATGCGGCCAGGCCCCGCACGGCTGGTAAACGGGTTGTTTGGAATCCAGCTGGATCCAGGGGATCCCCCTATTCCTAACACTGTGCAGTGAGCAGCGGCCTGACAACGTCCATTCCCGGACCCTGCTGTGACACCCCGGCCCAGGGCTCCGCGGGGCGAATCCATCGAGCCCTCGGACGGATGACACTCGCTGTCGATCCGGCCTGTGGAAGCTGAAGCTGGAGGAGACCTGCCCAGCCTGAATCCCAGCATAGCCCCAGCCGGAGTCGCCACCCAGCGGTTCACCAATCTGGCCCCAAACAGTGGGGATTGTACTGTTCTCACCTGCTCCTGGGGCCTTTCACCACTGTGGAGAGTCTGATCTGACAGACGGGCCCCGCCCTGCCCGGGCACAGAGAGCCCTGCCGTGATCTAGCCAAACACTGGAGCGCCGTGCACCTGCCAGGCTGTCAATGTGGGTAGCGCCAGCTGCTGGGCAAGGGGGATGTCGGGGCTCCATGGTGCAGCGGGGTCACTGACCCCATGCAGGGAGTTGGGTTTTCTACCTAGGGACCTGGCTTGTACACGCAGAGACGCACTCGTTCCGGCCACTAAGCTCTCCCTGATATTTATCCATAACGCTTTTGCTTCTCACAGAAATCCTTGTGTCTAAAATCCCCTTCGCCTGGACATCAGCAAACAAGTCAATCAGCGGGGAGAGTCAAGAGCGCTCACGGGTCCTTCCCTTGGGCCGTGCTCCAGCAGCTCTGTCTCAGACTCCCCTTCTCTCTCTTTCCCGTGACAGGCTGGGAGTCAGAACAGACACTTTGCCCCTGTGTGGCGCAGAGGAAGAGCGAGAACTCAGGGCAACCTGGTTAGTTTCACCCTCCAGGCATGCGGGTTAGTTTCAGAGATCCTGGGTAAGCTCAGTGGCCGTGCATTAACAGCATCGCCAACGCCAACCAATAAAAGCCCCAAACCGTGAGCCAGACTGCAAAAAAGTCACAAGATATGATTTTTAAACCAGAGATTTTTTTTAACAATCCATTTTTGTTATATCCTTGGGGGCAACAGTTTTAGGAAGAAATCACTGGAGACACAGAGAGCTGTAAACCTTGGAGCAACCATTTATTGCCACACACTGAACTAACCAAAAACGAGCCAAAACTGACTGGGTATCCCCTAATAATCTAACTCAGTTGCCATAGCAACACAAGATTCTATTACTACGACACCCGAATACACAACATATTCCTCCCCCTTTAATAAGAACGTCTCCTAAATAAAACAAACACTAAACTAGAGAAGGGGGGTAGACAGCCTCCATTCCTGGCTAAACCCCGGGGATTATTTTGCCCCGTAACCGTGGGTTTGCCCTAGCTAAAGGAGTACTACTAAAGGAGGAGTTCTTTGAGAGAAAGCAGGAGCCCGGTGAAACTATCCGGGCATACGCGTATGACCTCCAGGAGAGAATGAGCAAAGTGGAGCGGCGAGACCCTTGACGAGTTCCAGACCCAGATATGATTCTAAAACAGCAGTTGGTGCTGGGGCTCCGGGACGACTCCCTCCGACGTGAAATGAAGAGGAGGTTTAAAGAAGAGCCCAGTAAGAAGTTCCACGAACTCATGCAGGCTGCCATTATGTGGTCAGAAGAAGAGGAAGTTCCTGTGGCAGAGACAGCCAAGCCTAACCCCCGTACACAAAGTGGGGGCCTAGTGAATGCAGCTGCTGGGGAAAAGGCCCTCCCGCAAACAGAGCTAACATTGGAAAGCTTAAGTGAAGCTGTCCAAAAACTGGCGGTCCAACAGGGGGAGATGCTGAAAGTGATGACCGAGTTGATGAAAGAAAAAAATCCCATTAGTATGCCAAAGTCTCCAAGGGCACCGGGATCCCGAAGAGCCCCACTGAAGGACGAGCTGGGAAGATACATTTGTTACACTTGTGAAAGGCCAGGACATACTAGCCAAGAATGTCCACTGAGAAGGAGAACAGAGACCCAAGCACTCGAAACC